TGTCTCTTCTTTATTAAAGTTTTTGGGTTTTTCTTAAATACATAATTATAGATAAGCAATTATGCATTTATATTCATATAAGCAGATTTTGAGTGAATGCACTTTATACTAAATTATAAACCCCAGTTATAACTTATAAATTTGAATCATAATATAAAATATAAAATGCAAATTTTAACTTTTATAAAAAAATTTTTAGATGAATATATCTATATTTTAGTGTTAATTAAATATTTAGTAACATTTTTTCAATGAATACTCTTAAAGAATTTTAATGACTTTAAATAAGTGTTGAATAACTTAAAAACTATTTGTTTTTAATTATAATATTTCATTAGTTGATAATTAATCTAGTGAAATTTCTATTAATTTGATCGATATTCTTATAATTATAAAAGGTGCAATCTATATTATCCATTTTTGATAATATTTCTGACTAAAATAGGTTGCTTTAACTCTTACTAATTATAACTTTTTTTTTTAATAAAATTATTCAAGGTTTTCATTATAGTATAATTTAGATCATGTTTTGTTTTTCTTAATTTCACATAAATAGATCACTTTAACTCTTACTAATTATAATCTTTTTTTTAATAAAATTAGTTAAGATCTTTATTATAGCATAATTAGATTATATTTTACTTTTCTTTATTTTCATATAAATAGGTCACTTCAACTCTTATTAATTATAACTTTTTTTTTATAAAATCATTCAAGGTCTTCATTATAATATAATTAAAAGCATATTTCACTTTTCTTAATTTTATATAAATAGGTCACTTTAACTCTTACTAATTATAACCTTTTTTTTAATAAAATTAGTTAAGGTTTTTGTTATAGCATAATTAGGTTATATTTCACTTTTCTTTATTTTTATATAAATAGATCACTTTACCTCTTACTAGTCATAACTTTTTTTTTATAAAATTATTTAAGATCTTTATTATAATATAATTAAGGTTATGTTTTGCTTTTTTTAATTTTATATAAATAGGTTACTTTAACTCTTACTAATCTTAACTTTTTTTTTTAATAAAATTATTTAAGATCTTTGTTATGATATAATTAAGGTCATGTTTCACTTTTCTTGATTTTATATAAATAGGTCACTTTATCTTTTACTAATTATAGTTTTTTTTTAATAAAATTATTTAAGATATTTGTTATGATATAATTAAGGTTATGTTTTATTTTTCTTATTTTTATATAAATAGGTTACTTCAATTCTTACTAATTATAACTTTTTTTAATAAAATTAGTCAAGGTATTTGATATAGCATAATTAAATTATGTTTTATTTTCATATAAATAGGTTGCTTCAACTCTTATTAATCATAACTTTTTTTTCTATAAAATTATTCAAGATCTTTGTTATAGCATAATTAAAATTATGTTTTATTTTTTTAATTTCATATAAATAGGTCACTTTATCTTTTATTAATCATGATCTTTTTTTTCATAAAATTAGTTGAGGTCTTTATTATAGCATAATTAAGGTCATGTTTTGCTTTTCTTAATTTTACATAAATAGATCACTTCAACTCTTACTAATCATGACTTTTTTTTTTATAAATTATTCAAGGTCTTCATTATAACATAATTAAGGTTATATTTCACTTTTCTTAATTTCATATAAATAGATTGCTTCATCTTTTACTAACCTTGATTTTTCTTTTTTTTTCACATAAAATAATTTACTTTGTTCTTGTCAGTGAAATAAGCAATTGATAAAGTAATTGTCAGTAAATTATGCAGTTTACAGAATGAGATTTTGGTGAATTAATTGTCAGTGAAATGTATTGTCAACAAAATAAATTTTTCAGTAAATTAAGCTTTTCAGTAAAGTAATTGTCAATAAGTTGTAATGTTAACAAAATAAGCTTTTTAACAAATTAAGTTTGTCAGTGAATTAATTGTCAGTGAGTTTAGTATTGACAAAATAAACATATCGATAAAATAAATATGTCAAGGATTTGATTATTAGTAAATTAAATATTTATGAATTAAACATGTTAGCAAGATAATTTTTGTGAAGTAGTGTATCTACAAAAGGAGGTTAATAAAAAGAGCTGAACTGATCTAAACAATATTAACCTAATAGCATTAATTAAGACCTTTAGAAAGTTAGTCACAAAGGTAATAACAAAAAGGTTAGTGAAGATATTTTATAAAAAAAAATACTCAAAGGACCAAATTATACAGATTTGCTTGACAATTCAACAGAGTAACCAATACATATGCTAAATATGATAATAAAAGAAGCACAAAAAAAAAATAAAGAAACATAAATATTTCTGTAAGGTGTAAAGAAGGCATTTGACTCAGTCCTATTAGAAAGCTTGAAGTGTGCTCTTAGAAGAGTCAAAGTACTACAAAGGACAATAAAATATAGGGAATTGCTATTTTCACCATGATAGATCATGTGTATTTCGAAGATTTCTGATCAAAATAATTAAACTACATATGTCACATGATGTGCTTCTAGAAATTCATGTGAGCGTGAATAATTGGTTGGATTTTGAGTAATGTAATAAGAGTACGTAGAAGTTATTTATTCCGGGTTCCATGTATCTGTTACATCAATTTAAAAATGCTAACCCTAAAAGTAACTAATGAAGATTGATGTTTTAGCAAAGCTTGCCCGAATGGCAACTGTAATTAATTGCCAGTAAGATATATTTTTTAAGAATGTAGCAAATTATTTTGAATACTAATATGCATGTTATTTATTGAGCTATACATAATAAAGGTTTCTAAATCATGTTTGTCACTAACCCAAAATCATGATCAAAAGGCTTCAGGTTTAAAGAGACGTTTGTTTTTAAGTTTTAGGATTAGAACTAGAATATTACGCTTATTAGTTTTTGTAGTTTTGTTTTTTAATTGTAGGTTTTGGTTTGTTGATATTAGTGATATTATCCAAACTCGGTGATTTGGGACTTAATAGAATCCCAAACTTTTTACTGTTTCGACAATTGTGTCATAACTGCATTATAACCTAAACTTTTGCATTACTGACTAGAGTGCAAATTATAATATCAATAATTACAGATGTTTTCAAAAAGGTGTGAATAATTTCCACATATCTGTGTGGAAAACTGAAGAATCGGAAAATTATCATTAGTAAAAATTGAAGATCTGAATAGGACTGGCTTTGAAAGATTTGGAAATCTGGGTAATTTCTTGACACCTTTTTTGAAAACAGCTATAAGTATTGTCTAGTGATGCAGGAGAATTATTTCCACAATCATATAAATAATTTCACTGTGCTTATCAACAACACCATATTTGTTTCATGGTGTTATTCAATTATTATAATTACCACCTTTAGTTGGGTTTGGATAGCATCGCTAGTTGGTGTATTATTTCTATTTCTTTATATAAGTTTCAAATTTTTGATATGTATATGTTAAACTATAATTTACAAAATTTGTTCAACTCTACTTTATATGTTAAACAAACATACTACAAAGAATTATATGAATGCACTTATGCTAATTCAGGCATTCATGCTTTTATTAAATAAATTATTACTCGAGACCTGATTCTATTCCAAAAGATATTAATTATATGTACTATATATAAATAAAAAATTATGCTGAAAAATAACTACGGTAATATAGTATTCATGATTATGTGATACATATATGTAAATTAATTCTGAGTTTCTAAATTCAAATGTGTTCCTTATATATAACACAAATTATTTAGCAATGTTAATTATTTGGGTGTACTAGCCAAAAAAAATTATTGAATTGATACTTATCGATTTGGTCATGATTATGCGATACATATATGTGAATTAATTCTGAGTTTTCAATATATAATACAAATTATTTAACAATGTTAATTATTTGAGCATGTTAGCCAAAAAAAATATTAAATTAATATTTATTGACTTGGCTGATATTATTCATGATTATGTGATACATGCATATGCAGCATTTGGAATTGCCAAATATTACTTAGTATTCAAGACATTTTCTATAATCCTCACTGAAGAGTTCACCAGGGTGGCCCCAAAAGTACAGGTTACATTATCTGAACCATTGTTACAGCCATCTCTTAATAACCAGTAGTATGTATATATTTCATTTTATATACGTAAGAAATTTTCACAACAATAAAGCTGTATACAGGAGCTAAATGATTATAAGAAATTATACAGTGACAGTGGCATCTTATCATGTGCTCTATACTTTTGGAGGCCATGGCGAACTCTATGAAACTGCTTAATAGTGTTAATTAAGGTGTGCTAGCCAAAAAAAGTAAAGTAATTATACCGGATTAATAATACTGAGTTATTTATCAGTTTGGCTGATATATGAAAAAGTGTTCGTAATAATATGATGCATATGCTAAAATTCTTAATCAGTGTTCTTATACAAATTGCTTAATAGCATTAACTATATATTAGGGTATGCTAGCAAAAAAAAGTAAAAATAATTATAGTTTTCATAAAAATCATTTGGCTGAATTGATAATGTTAGATCAGTTATTTGTTAGTTCGGCCAACGATTATAATATTTTTTACTTTTAAAATAGTTGTAAAGAACATACCCGAAAATAAAACTAAAAATTAATAGAGTCATGAATAGTGCTTTGTAAATTGAGTTTCAAAACTATAAAAGAAGCATCTGAACTACCAATCTTATAAGATTAAAAATAATTTAAAAATAACTTAAAAATACCTTTAGCTTTATCTAATAATAAAAGTGCTCTAAGAATCGCTATAAACCTTCATCACTAAAATCTTTGTACTAAAGTCAGTTATAAAATTATTAATAAAATCTTTATTAAGTTTATAAAGTGTTCATTTACAAATTATTATTGCATACCCTGTTTCTGAAAATATAAATCCATGTTTTTGTCTCCACCTTCAGAAGAATACTTTGCAAGCCGTGACAATCTCATTAAATATACCAAAACTCATGCCTTTAGTCATAGGTATGTAGTAAGCATTAAAAGATCTGAGCGAAACAAGTTCGTTTACTTGCGATATGACAGAGGTGGCAACTACAAAAAAAGAACAAAGGTTACTGATAAAACCCACCAAAGGGCTACAAGTACATGAGCGATAGATTGCCCTTTTGAGCTCTATGCAAAGATGATGAAAGATGGTCAATAGTGTCTAACAATAAACAATGCAACCCACAATTATGAGGCATCAGAAGATATTTTAGGCCACCCATCTAGTCATCGATTGAATGAAGCTGATTATCAAAAAGTTAAGGAAATGTCTACAGCAGGTGTTTATTCTCAAGAAATACTCTCTATGCTTCATCAAAGCAATCCAGATAGTTTAGCAATCTCAAAAACGATCTATAACATTCGAAATAAAATTCAGCATGACAATCTTCAAGGCTGCACCCTAATTCATGCTCTTTTTGACAAGCTTACAGAAGGAAATTTTGAATTTTATTACCAATATAATTAAGATGGAAAATTAATCCATCTTTTTTTTGCACATCCAAAATCAATTATACTTATAATTTAGTTCTCTTAATGGATTGTATATACAAAACCAATAAGTTTAAAATGCCATTGCTTCATGTTGTTAGCATGACGAGTTTTAACACTACATTCTCTTCCTGCTTTGCATTCTTAAAATCAGAGCAGGAAGAGGATTACAGATGGGTCCTCACTTGTGTTGCTCATATTTTTGGTAATATCCCAAAGCCCAAAGTTATCGTGACCGATCATGAACTAGCTTTAATGAATGCTGTACAAACAGTATTTTCGAAGTCTCACAATCTTCTATGTGTTTGGCATATCAGAAAAAATATATTGGTTAACTGTCAGCATCATTTCCAAACCAATGACAAATGGTCAAAATTCATGGAAAGCTGGTCCAGCCTTATAAAATCCAAAAGAGAACCTAATTTTGAAAATAACTAGAAAAAATTAATAGAAAAATATAATGAAAAAAATGATTATTAAATATTTGAAAGAAACATGGTTGCTATTTAAAACGAATTTCATGAACTGTTAGGCAGACCATTATTTGCACCTAGGTATTTTTTTTTTTAACTTTTCTAAATCTTTTTTTTTTAGTTTAAATTTTTTTTTGAATTTTACTTTTGTCATATAAATACAAATAATGCACAAGAGCATTATTTAAAATTTCAGCCCAAATTCAGAATTACACTCTTGCATGTTATTTCGGATTTATACATACCATTTTTCCTTTTTTTTTTATATTTTTTCAGTTCTTGTTTTTTATTTATTTAAATTGTCTTGATATTGTAGATAATATGATGACGTCATGAGTAGAAGGAGGTCATGTAATGTTGAAGACATATCTTCAAGTATCAATGGATGATCTTCATGTTGTCTATGAAAAAATTTCTTTGGTGTTAGAAAACCAATACCAAGAAATTAAAACCAAATCTTCTCAAGAGTTAATTCAGATACCTCAGGTGCAAAGCAAGCCATTCTATGCACAGGTCATTTCTAAAGTGTCTACATTTGCACTAAAGAAAGTTCATGAACAATTTTAAAAGCATCTAATGCAATATCCAAAAATCCATTACAGCCTTGTAGTCATATCTTTAGTTCATCAATGGGTCTACCTTGTTTTTACACAATTCGGAAGCTCCTTGACACTGATAAATATTTACAGCTCGACAACTTTCATCAACACTGGTGGATCCATCAATGCCAATTATCTTAACAAGAACCATCTAAAACTGAATATTCATTAAATCAAAAATGGGAAGATTATAATCAACAATTTAATTCTTTATCACTTTACCAAAAAAGTGTAGTTCTGAAGAGAATGTCAAGCACATTTCAAGAATCAACTGTAATTGTACAAGATCCAGAGGTGCAATCCACAAGAGGATGTCTAGTAGGTGCAAAAAACTATTTTCAATCATCCACTGCAAGAGATCTATCCACCTTTGAGTTGATTATATCAAGAAAATGTAGTATATGTTGTGAAATTGGGCATAATAGTAGAACATGTCCTAATACTGAAAGCTTAGATGAAAATAGTAATAACAGGAAATGCGGTATATATCATAAGACTAGGCACAATAGTAGAACATGCTCTAGTATTAAAAGTTCAGATGAAAGTAGTAAAAGTTTGGATGAAAGTAGTGAGGATAGTTAGCTACTAGATAAACAAAGTGTTTTTATCAGTGAAAAATTTTAATTGCATTATTAACATACCATAAACATAAATTCTTTCTGTTTGCTTGCTTTTTTTCGTGATTATAATATAAATGCTTAATTGGTTACTTTTTGCAAATAAATAGAGAAAAATATTAGTTTGACTTCAAAGTACTATTAAAATCATTTAAAGACTATCCAAAATTAAAATTTTGTACATAACTTTCACTATAGTCATATGAAAATGTAGTGTTTTGCTTCAAAAGACAAAATGATCCAGGATATAACATATAGTACTAGCAATCTAATTATCTTAAGTCCAGTCTCAATTAGTTACAAATTTCGATTCCAAGTCTAGTTCCAGCTTAAATTGCCTTATAATATGATTTATTGTGTGATGTGCTGTATATACACACATATATATGCAAGAAATCTACTCCTTATGAAAAGTACAGTAGCTATGTATAATCTAAATGTTGTGTTATATGATAATACATTAAATTAGAGAATGATTTTTCTTAAATTATCGATTTCAATAAAGTATGTACATACATATATATACATCTTATCTGTTATTAATGCTAACAATTTAGGAAATACTGTAGTTGATTTAAAACATTACTTACTTATTTATACTTTGTATGTACATACGTACAAGCTTGAAGTCGAATTGAAAAGTAGATAAAATTCTTTAAATTTTATGTATTAGGACTAAGTATTAGAATAAATTTTATACAATAAGCGATTTTTAACTATAATTGTATTACGTTACACCTGATCTCAAAATTTGATTGGGCATGATTACGTAATAGCAAAATGTTGGTGTGCTAACTACAAAGCAAAAACCTATCACATGATATATATAGTTTAATTATTTTGATCAGAAATCTTCGAAATACACGTAATCTACTATGGTGAAAATAGCAATTTACCATGGTGAAAATAGCAATTCCCAAAATATATTATCAACCTTTTCTGTAAACATTAACTTAAGGTGATTATAGCTTATAGCCTAATAAAAGAAATAACAACAGAAGATAATATAGATCAAAAAAAGGTGATTTCTCTACTTATCTAATAGCTTTTTTATAATCTACTGTTAGAAAGAATTCAAGAAAATACATCACTAGGCTATGTAGTAGAGCAAGAAATACTAAAAAATATAGATATTAATTGTATTACAAAACATAAGACAAGTAGCAATTGCTTATACAGATAATACTACATAGATTGCAAACAGCAAAGACTAATTGCTAAGAGTTCTTAAAATTACAGAGGAATTCTTTAAAGTAAATAATATTAAAATAAATAAAGCAAAGTCAAAGCTCATAGTAATGAATTTTAGACTAAGAAAAGAAGATAGAAAAATCACATTCAGACAGAGCAGAATAACAGAAGAACCAAGAAACAAAATTATAAGATCATTAGTAATTTGGCTAAATAGCAGAATAAGAGAGTTACTAGTTTGCAAAAAAGCAAAAGAAATAGTTAGTTAAACAGTTAAAGACCTCAGATATAAAAAAATGACAATGAGCCAGATTATGTACATAAACAATACTATAATAATTTCAAAATTAGAATACCTTTTGTAGTTAACAAGAATATCAGAAAAGATGATTAACAAAATTTATTAGCTGATAATATATTTGGCAAAACATAAGTGCAATATAATGAAAACAATAAATAATTGCATAATTGAATATAAGGATCTGAGAAATTGTAAATCACTAAGTCAAAAGATAGCAACAAAGCAAATAAACAGTTTATTTGCAAGACTTAATAGAAAAGACACTTTAGATAATTTAACAAAGCTTAGGATAACTCAAGAATGTCAGAAAGCAGAATTAGTAAAAGACATTTGAGACTCTGAAAGAAAATCAGAAGAAATAAATTATTGGAAACATAATTTAGCTTGTCAAACAATAGTTAAAACAAGAGAAATGAGAATAAATATTAAAGCAGAAAATCATCTGTGAAAAGTACACAGATATGAAATAAGTATAAGAAACTTAGAGTTAAATCATAAATAGCAAGTAATAGCATAATAAATGAATAGAGTTTAATATATACAAACCAACTAGTGAACATAAAAAGTAAAAACCTAATTATGCAAAAACAGCTCAAGAGTCTTCTAGAGCTGTTATATAAAGAGAAAAAGGCCAAATAGTTTAGTAAAATAAAAGAAAAGATGTTAATAATACAGACAAATAGAGAAATACATAACTAATACAAGATTAAAGACTATAACATATAGATGCTAATGATTAATTAGACAAAAATATCTGAAGACAAAAGAAAGAAAGAGTGGATTGTATATAGACCAAAGCACAATCAGCAACTTAGTAGAATATTAAAGAAGAAAAAGAAAAAAGATCTTAGCTAAACATTGACTATTACAGAAAATAGAAAGCAAAATATATACTAAAATAAGTAAATGCAAAAGGTATAAAAACAGAATAGAACAAATGACAAATAATTGTGAAAAGTAAATAAGATGAAACAATAATATAAAGACAGTTCTAAAAACATTAGTAGACAAAAGCAATAACAAGATTAAGGCAATATTAGAACAAATGCTAGAAAACAGAACAATAGAAAAGAAGAAAGAAGTTTAATCAAGCTAAAACAAGTAGAAGAATTAGAGACAGAATTAATCAAGAAACAAAAATTTAATAGTAAAGTTACAGATTATGTAATAGAAGTTCTAATAAGAAACAAGAGGAGAAATAAAAATAAATATACTCTTTATATAGATAAAGTATTATATAAAGAGAAAGAGAAAAATAATATAGAAAAAATAGGCATCAGTTAGATGCAAGTTAGCAATAAAGAAAACTAGTTAGAAGAAAAAATAGTACTGAGACTCAAAGGTTGGTTCTTAGCAATGATAGCAGAATTAGCAGTAATATGTTTAGCAATTTTATCATACCAGAAGAAAAGTGTATAGAAATGTATACAGATAGCCTTACAGCACTAAGACATATTAGCAGAGCAATTTAAGAGATAGAAGATGACAAAATTTTGAAAAAAAAAGTGATGTGAATAATAAATATTGTAGATCTACTCAAAAGCAAGAACAATAGAATAGAACTAGTTAAAGTTAAAAGTCATAGTAATGATAAGTGAAATGACAGAGCAAATGTATTTGCAAAAAAAAAAGCAACATATAGAAGGACAATATTTATAGAGAAGTCAAATGTAACAAAATAAAGTATCACTTAGAATGAGAAATAAAAAAGTTGATATACCAACAAGACTTCATTGCAAAATAGTCACAAATACCAGAATTGAAGCTAGTTGAAGAGAAACAAATCCAATTTAAGCACTAGAGCCAGAAACTAAGAATATTCAATATAATTAGTCAAGCTTTTGAAAAGAGATGAATAGAACAAAGTGTGTATATTGTACAATAAGAAAACTTAGCATAAGAAGAGCAACAGTAATTAAATGCATAATAGATAGTCTACTAACACTAGAAGAATTAAATAAAAGAAAATCAGAAATATATATAACGACTGACTGTCAAGTATATCAAAAAGCTAAAAAGAAAACTCAAACATATTTAGCAAGCTGCATTAGACAAAAAAACTTATAGAAGAGGATCCAAAAGGTAGCAACAGCAGCATTATGGAATGGCTTTAAAGAAAATAAAAAAGTTAGAATTCTACCTCTAGTGCTATATAAGATACTATTTGAAAAAACAGAAGTAAAAAAAATTACTAATAAAACAGCTTTAATAAAAAAGCTAACAATGAATAAGATTGAAAAAAGACTTAATTAGATTTTAGATAGACAGGCAACACAAAAATGCATAGACATAGTAACAAGAACAGTATAGAATATATTTTATGACCAAGTATAGAGAGTCTAGTGTAGAAAAGTACAAGAATAGAAAAAGAAGATTAATATAACAAATAAAATGAAAAAAGATGCTTGAACTAAAAGAAGATTAGAGAAGAGAACAAAGAAAAATAAGGTAGCAAAAGAAAAAGAAAAGAAAATAAAAGTAGAAAAAATGAACTAAATGAAAAAAGAAGCTTGGAAGACAATTGATATGCTTGTTACAGAAAGAGAAAGACTTTTCTGGTATAGCTTTAAGTAGTTAGATGAGCAGTTTATTTCTAACTGAGATAGTATGACAGGTTGCACTTAGATACCAATAGGGTGGCTAAGTGATATTAGACTTAAGTATTAGGAAATTCTATATAATTATAAATATATATAGTTTCAAGAATCTTAATAAAGTACTAATATAACTGTTTAAGATTTAAAAAAAAAAATATTAGATATTACTATATTTAGTTGCAAAAAGTTTAAATAGACAATTTATAAGTCTTGAAATTATTATTTTATAATATAAATAATGTAACCTTTTTCTGTAGAAACTACTTTTGTTACAATTTAATGATATATTTTTAATTTTATTATTTCTATCAATTTTTAATTTTTTTATAATTATGACATATCTTTAATTTATAACAAAGATTTGAATATATGAAAAAAGCTCATTATAGTTTAAAAATTGACTAAGCAATAGTAAAAGAATATTTGTATATTATATAAAGAATGTGTATAAGTTATATAATTGTTAAAATATATTAGAAATAAAAGATAAGTTTATAAATATATTTTTTAATTTTTATTTGTTTATTTTATTTTTTATTTTTGTTTTTTTATTAATTGTTATTTTTTTTTTATTTTTTTTTAAAATTTATTAACTAATTTTATATTTGTCTAGTTTAATATGTTTTTAAACATTCAAGAAATATTTATAAGTTTTCAAGTTTCAATATTTAAAGTGAAATAGTAAAAAAAAGAGATAAAGAAAGATTATTGTTTATCATCAATATCTTTTATATACAAATTAAACATATTATATTATATTTATATTAAGTATATTAAAAATGAAACAGATTAGGTATAATTTTAATTTTTGATCTTTAATTATTAAAAATTTTAAGTTAGTTTTAAATAATGCAAATCTATATATGCTTATACTTT